AGACAGACAGACAGACAGACAGACAGACAGACAGACAGACAGACAGACAGACAGAAACAAGCAAAGGGAAAGGAAAGAAGCAAGACCTACCAGTGGCACCCTCCTACCACCCACTGGCTTATGGTCCCTGATACCGGGAAACTGGCTTGGATTTTGTGCATCTAGCGCAAAGGGACATTGTTTAGAAGGAGATCAGTGGCACCCTCCAGCCACCCACCGGCTTATGGTCCCTGATATCGGGAAACTGGCCTGGATCTTGCGCGGGATATTGTTTAGAAGGAGACTAGTGGCACCCTCCAACCGCCCACGTCCACAATGCGTGGTCGTCGCAGACAGACTCCGAGTCGGCCTCTTCCACAGCTGCCCCCATGTAAGGTGTGTGGGGAGGTGGGCACGGGCTTTCACTACGGCGTTACAACCTGCGGGGCCTGTAAGGTGGGTCTCCTTTGTTGTTGTTGTTGGTTGTGGTGGTAGTGGTGGTGGTGGTGGTGATGGTGGTGTTGTTGTTGTTGGTGGTGGTCGTGGTAATTGTCATGATGGTAGTGTTGAAGTTGTTGTTGTTGTTGGTGGTGGTGGTGGTGGTGGTGATGGTGGTAGTGTTGTTGTTGTTGGTTGTGGTGGTGAAGGTGTCGTGTTGATGATAGTGGAAACGGTGATGGTGGTGAGGAAGTGGGTACGAGCTTTCACTACGGCGTCATAAACAAATTTGTAATCATTTTTTTTTTATTTGGTAAAAGTTTTGCTACACTTGCTATTGCATAATAACGTGTCACATTATGAGCGTGCGGGACACAAGTTGGTTGTTTTCTCGTTAGTTCACAGCACGTCTGGGTTTTACTTTGCAAGTGAGAATGGTGAAAGTATCTGAAATTACAAGTAAAAATTCAGCTAAAAAAGCAGCAGTTTGCAATTTTAAAATAAAGTTATCGGCATTTTGGAGTAAGAAAAAAACGTCTTTATAAAATAGAGAATTCTGTTAGGATCAGTGATGGATAACAAAATTTTGTTTAAAATTAATCATTGGAGCATTTAGAACCAAAGTCCGGACATTCTATTAAGATGTGTCGTCTTATCATAAAGTCGGTATCGTATCCGACACAAAATGGTTTTCCCTCTCCCTGCAGTAGGTGGTGTGGGTGCATAAGGAGGAGATGAATAAACAAGGCCGCAGTACGAAAGCAGCTGACTTTGCCAGGTGTTAAGTTAAATCTTCAGGACGAAATACTTTGTATTTCAAGATGACATTTTGTTCCGCAAAAAACCTATTTAACCGTTATACCGTTTTTTCCAAAAACCAGGAAAACAAATGAACTCCTTGTCTCCCCCCC